TTGAGTTAGAATTTTCAAGATACGTGGTGTGGGAGATGTGTTACGGATTTAAATTTCAATCAGTACAGATGAAGTGTTTTTTGTAATTAAGTTGCATCGTATTGTGTCAGAATTTCTTTCAGTGGAGTGCACGTGAAATACACACTGCAATTATGGCCAATGTGATTTATAATGTACTTTCTCAAAGTAATAGGCTGGAAGTCTAAGGCTATGCATTCATTAAGAAGAATGATGTGTACAAGGTGGTGGCGGGAGATGTAGTGAAACAAAATATTAAACTTGAGTCAATAAGGTAGGAGAAGAAAGATTGATGACTGTGACGATGAAATTGGAAACATTGAAAGTGTCAAAGGCGTCAAGGAGGATGGGAGATTTTTCTGAAGCTATTGTTGAGTCAAAGGTTTAACAACTGAAAATGTCTCAAGGATCTTCAATGCAAAAACATTTGAGGATATTGATTTCTGTACTTGAATTCAACCTGAATTCGATCTGGTGTTGATGATTTTGTAAAAATTGCCTCAATATTACAACTAGTGTTTTGTATCTTTACAAATATGTGGGAATGTACAATGGTTTCAAGAGGTGACAATCTTGGCTTCGCAAGAAGAGAGATCAAACAAGAAGCACATGTAGACAAATATAAAACGTGGACTTCTTGCAAATAGAAGGTATTTTTTCTTAACACAGGTGAAGTTGCGTGAACAGTTCAGCTCTATCACTTATCACTTTTACACTGTTTATTTCAAATCTCAAATACAAAGACATTGGATAGATATTTCAAAGAAATGAAATGTATAAAGTGATGAATATAAACATACTGCTATGTTTAGTTTCAAATAATTGAAAAGTTTCTACTTTAAACTTGTTATGATGTGATTATATATCACATCAAGAATTATTGTTGTAAAATAAAAAATAAAAAAATAAAAAAAATTTTTACGCAGAACTCAAACTAGAATTTGATATAGTTGAATGGTGTGTTGGTATACTTTGGTCTTGAGAACATTAATTGTTCATGTATTGCATATCATGACAGGACTTAATATTATATGTATTTCATTATAATGGGATAAAATAACGTGAATGCTATACAAAATTTCTTGCTATACATTGCATATAAGCATGCTATGATCTGAATATTGTTAAAAAAATTGACAATTTAAACATTAAATTTTAGATATAAGGAGATTATTTTTCATGCCAAAATATCAATATTTTTTTATAGTAAAAATGATTTTAACAAATAAATGTAACCATCTTCAATTGATCCAAATAAAAATATGAATAAATCTATTTGAAGATAAATGATGAATTATAATTAAGTATAAATTGTATTCTTGGGCACAATTTGTGAGATAATTGTAATTTATAATTTAATGATTGTTCTCAATTCCATATTTTAAAAATATGTGTGGTTTGTTAGATTAAGATTGAATCTATTAGTTAAAAAAATTCATTAATAATCTGTGTACTTGTTAGATAAAAATCAAATTTTTTTATTAAAAACTACACATAAAATATTAGGTGAATAATTGTTAAATTAATATCGATTGTGTTAGTAACTATCGATATGATAATTATTTTTGTGCATGTATGATAATGATTGAATACTCTAATTAAATATTTGAGGTTGTTAATCCATGTGCTTGTTAAATAAAAATTGAATATGCTAGTTACAAACAATACTTGGTTATTCTATTCATGTTTGTTAGATAAAAATTGAATGCATGAAAATTAGTAAGCAAACATACACAAATAAATAATAATAAATAAAAGTAAAATAAATAACACATCAACATTGGATATCACTTAATTAGAGATACAATTTTTGATATTAAATATCTAATATTAACGGAAAATTCAATTCTTAGAAGATATTTATCAAATTTTGTGTTAATTTGCAAATTTTGCATAACGATCATAAATAGAATTTACTAGCAAATTTTTTTTTATATTTATTTTATTTCCTATCTCAATCTGGATAGGGTTTAATTCTAATTAGCTATAGTTTAAGGAGATATCTATCCTAGGTTTTTTTCTAAAATATTCTGCGAGATATTTATATAAGTTAAGCAAGTTACGATTTCCATGACATGAGTGAAGAGAGGTGGTTAGAAATTGACTCACGTCTTTGTTGTGATGTCTATATGAAGTTCGTTAAAAGTTAACGCAGATTAGCTAGGTTAGGAATTTGACTTACTTGTACTCTAAATTTCAAAACTCTAAAACATTGTCACTTTATAAGAGATCTAGCAAAAGCTATTTTGACATTTTTGAATTGTTCAATGAATAAAGTCTTATGTTTTTTTGTCGCGGGTAGTAATGAACCACATATCTTGGTGTCGACATGTATTATTGAGCATTTTGCACTTTACTCCTGATTTGGCACAAACATTTTATGTGTGGCGATATCCATTACTTTGGAGCCTTAACAAAATCTTGATTGCTCAAAGTTCGTATAAATATTGTCAAAAAAATTTGTTCCCTGCTGCACTGGAGTCATTTGTTCCAACCGGCATATATATATATGAACATAAATGACAAAATATACATTGTGTCTTACAAAGTAGTAGGTAGTTCACTATCTAATTGTTGCACATGTTACGCAAAGATCTTCCTGCAGTTTTTGTCTAAAGCATCACATGTCAAGACTTAAGATGTTTTTGCCATCCACTCATATCTTTCTTTCTTAGAAAAATTCCTTTGCATAGTTTTGGATACACCTTATCTCAAAGTCAAGCCAATAACGCGGTAACTCTGTCGGATAATTTTGCCAATTCGTCGTATGTCCACATTGGCTTTACAGTCAACCGCCAACATGCTTTTCATTATTGTTGTGCAATCGAACATTCTTATGTCCGACGATGGCGCGGACTGTTTCTTTGTAGGTGGTGTTGATTTCATCTTAACAGCTAGTAACAACGTTTCTACACAATGTGCAAACTTAAAAATTCGTCAAATGTGAACCCGACTTAAATTTAAATTTTGAATGTTTTTGAGCGTGCCGTCTGCATCCAGCACGCTTTAAAGTGAAAGCCGCCAAATTTTCTCCATAGGCTTTTCTTTAGTTGCATCTTTTGACTTCCTAGCTCTGAAGTTGCAGAGGATTATGAGAAGTTTGAATGCTCCATGTCTGCAAATTGCACCAACTTTGAGAGCGTCGATTATAATTGTGCTTGCCTTCTGGACGGCTACGTGGGAGATGGTTATAAAAATGGCACTGGCTGTGAAGGCAAGTTGTAGCTGATAATTTTCTCGTGCATCCAGGATTGCGATTTGTGCCCGTCTTGTTCCAGATCCTGTTTGAACACCTTTGTTTGCTGATGCGTAAGTTCACATACAAGACTAGATTTATGATGAGAATTGATGTTTGTGAAGCTAGACTTTCACATAACCAGATGATTTTAGCCTGCATTCTTGCATAAAACAAGAGTTTGAAAATGTGCCAATACATAAAAAGTACGCACCATTTTGAGCACCCAGCCAGTTCTGTTTGCCTGGGGATCTATACCATTGCCTTCCATCAAGTGAGGGCATTTACACTGATAGTTCCCATTGGGGTTGACGCATATAGCAATACTGGAGCAATTGTTCGGCTCTAGACACTCATTGATATCTGGCATGAGCACAAGTCATTTTAGCCAAAGGATTTCCAAGCTTATTGTGGAGTCTCCGAACTAATCAAGTGAAAAGTATCCTACACATTGAAAGCTTTAAGTTTCAAGCAGACAGTGCGGCATCTTCGCTGTGCAATACAACTGACCGAGAATTGAGTGTGCAGATGTAGAGGTTGAGGCATGCCATACCTTCTCGTAGCTCTTATGAGAGCTACGATCTCATGAGAATACAAATCTCTACAAATCTCATGATGTCCGAGACCGGAACTGCCGCTTTTATCATTTCATTAAGTGCATGGAATGCCTCAGCCTCTTCCTCTGCACACTCAATTCTCGGTCAGTTGCGGAAATCTTGGTATTGCACCCTTACTCTTCCTCTGCCAGGCAAACAGAACTGGCTGCGTGCTCAAAATGGTGCGTACTTTTCATGTATTGGCACATTTTCAAACTCTTGTCTCATGCAATAATGCAGGCTGAAATCATCTGGTTATGTGAAAGTCTAGCTTCACAAACATCAATTCTCATCATAAATCTGGTCTTGTATGTGAACGTACGCAGCAGCAAACAAAGGTGTTCAATCAGGATTTCTTAATGCCGTGGGCGTGGTAGCTAAGGATCTGGAACAAGACGGGCACAAATCGCAATCTTGGATGCAGAGAAAATTATCAGCTACAATTTGCCTTCACAGCCAGTGCCATTTTTATAACCATCTCCCACGTAGCCGTCCAGAAGGCAAGCACAATTATAACCTATGCTCGCAAAGTTGGTACAATTTGCAGACATGGAGCATTCAAACTTCTTAGAATCCTTTGCAGCTTCAGAGCTAAGTACTCTCACGTATAATTCTGCCAATTCGTGGTATGTCCACATTGGCTTCTAGTCAAAGGACAACATGTTTTTTATTATTGTTGTGCAATCGATCATACTTAGGTATGTACACATTGGCTTTACAGTCAAAGGCCAACATGTTTTTCATTATTGTTGTGCAATCGAACATACTTAGGTCCGACGATGGCGCTGATTGTTTCTTTGTAGGTGGTGTTGATTCTATCGTAACAGCTAGTAACAACGTTTCTTTGTAGGTGGTGTTGATTCTGTCGTAATAGCTATTAACAACGTTTCTACACAATGTGCACAAACTTAAAAATTCGTCAAATGTGAAACCGACTTAAATTTAAATTTTGAATGTTTTTGAGCGTGCCGTCTGCATCCGGCACGCTTTTAAGTGGAAGCCGCCAAAATTCTTCCATAGGCTTTTCTTTACTATAATAGGGCTTTAGTATTCAATGGGGAATGTAAATTATCCAGCCCAACGTCGCTCTTGTTAGTTATTCGTAGGTTTCCAGGTATGAGACGAGGATGACCGCAGTGAACTCCCTACTTGAATGTCAGGAAAACCAATTTATAGATCTACGCGAAGAATTACTCGACATGACCTTCACTCACATGTCCACATTTTTGCTCGGGAAAAATCTGTGGCAAGTCCTCTGGTAAGAAGATCCTGTCACAACTCATCGGGGAAGTTGCATCTTTTTCGAGTTCCTTGTGCTGGGTGAAAGCTTTCCATTCTTGAGGTGGCTGGACGTGGGAGGCGCAGAAGCCACAGTTGTGAAAGTCCATCGCGAGTTCGACAACTTTCTCTCAGATGCCATTCTCCAAGTGCTACTCCTGAGGACCAAGGCTTGATGCAAACTTCGTTATCCATGCAACACACACGAAGGAAAAAACATAACAGATTTCGACATCAAAGCTTTTATCAATGTAAGTTCCAATCACTTTTGATTTTTATCCATCGTTCTGATTGTCTCCTCACTGTAAAATGTAAGACTGTTGGTGGATATAAAATACGAAGCATATGCAGGATTTTATCAGCGCATACGCCATACAACGATGCCCAGAATCGTGGGAAGATCCTAACAAATTTCAACCGGAGAGATTTGCGAACAATCCCATAGACATGAAAGGCCAAGACTTCAGGAAGCTGAAGTCGGCCTTTCATGTCTTTCGGAGCCGGTCGAAGGCAGTGTCTAGTCATGGGGATTGGTGTGGTGATAGTGGAGATGACTCGGGCTGGAATAATACCGCCAGAGTAATCTCTCTTCCTGCAGGAATGAAACTAGAAGATGTGGACATGACTGAGAAAGCTGGAGTTGCATCTTCGCTGCTCTCTCCGATTCTAGTTTCAGTGAAACCACGATTATCCCCGAGGTTGTGCAGCATGCAAACTTAAGGTAGATACCTTTCACAGGACCTACGTCCTTCCATGGAATATTTTTCAGGTAGAAAGAGGATTTGGCGAAAAACATGTATAACCTTCGCACACTAAGTCCCACGTCGATTTGAAGTGTTCATGCACGTCGACCCTGCAGCAGATTAGGGATCCCACCTCATGTAAAAAATAGACCTGTCCGTGTTAACCATGGTATCATAACATGCACTGGATCCACTGATTTCGTGGAATTGTGTTAATTAGATGCTTGAGTGATAGATGAGGAACGGTATCTTTAAACTTTATTTTCAGTTCCGGTTTCTGGCCTTTAGCCCTCGGGCTCTATCGCCCTAGGAAATAGACATACATGAATTTTAGATTTCTTCTTGATCACTTTGTGCATATCATGTGACAAAACTGATGGAGGAGAGTCAAGGGAAATTCGTTTGAGGTACCTTCATTATCTTCTGCCTGTGATGCATATCAATCTCTGGATGCATATTTCATTTTGCAAATGGCTTTTCGATAGTATGCGTCGGAGTCCTTTTTCTTCGTTCCGAACACTTAGAATAAACTGGCTGTTTTGCTTGATGGTTTGCTCTATTCAGCCAGCACATTTGTTGCAGACTAAATAAATCTCAGATAACTTCAAGACACATTCTATATTTAGTTTCATAAAAGTATTTATCTTCAATGTTAATCGATATGGAAACCTATATATGTGATTTGTTAAAGTAGAAAGAGAAATGGAGACGTTATAAAATCAACGAAGCACAAGTGTATGATGTTACTTATAGGATTTATGTGAGGCATTAATGTTTCAGTAGATAATAATTTGAATTATAAATGATAAATTGGTAATATGATAAGAAATAATGATATTTGCCAAAATATCAATACGGAATAAAATGTGATAAGTTTTATAGCTTGATATTATCTTTTAACATATCAAATTTGAGAAATATTTCGAAAACAAATCTAAGTTAGTTGGATATTATCTTGATACCTTTTTATATTTTGGAGTTTTTATATTTAGAAAATGAAAGATAAGAGCATAAATAAATAGTTGTTTTGAGGGTATAGAGTTTAGAAATTTTATTATTAGTACATTAAAAATTAAGATTTATAATTTACAATATAAATAAGTTTATATATGAAGTTGAAAACTTTGAATTTGCTTAAATTTGACATTAACTTTTTTTTGTCGAAGATACATTTGGATCTGGATTTAATATGATGTGAATGAAAATTGAGAATTTTAGCAAAGAATGTAAAATTTTGTTGAAAAAACTAGAGATATAACTAAAATATTTGCATTGAAGGTTCAAGTATTTAAACTAAAAATTATCTAAAAAATTAGATAATAGAAATTTTATTAAATTTGAATTGCTAAAAATATTTTAAAAAATTGTGGTCAAATTGAAGCTTATTTTGAAATTTTTAACATGAAAGAAAAACATATAGTTTGAAGAATTTGTATCATAAAAAATTTGATCAGATGAATCATGATTATAAATGGAATTTTTGATATTTTTGAATGTCATCATGTTTTAATGATAAGAAATTAAATGTTTTAATAAAGCTTTGTATTGTTAGTACTTAATTCATATCTAAAATATCTTATGTTGGTTTAACCTGAAGATTTTCAAAGCTTACTTATCACTAGAGTTGATTGTAGTTATCAAGAACATAATCAATATTATTGCACTAGAATAATATTGCAATTCACGGAAGGAAATTATTATGTTGAACCACATCTTTATCTTAATTTTATTATGTGAATAGCTTGCTTAAACATTGTTTGAGTGAAGATTCAAAACATGCCATGTATGTTTATATGATTCAAAGATTATCAAACATTGAATAATGAAATTTTTTTTCCAAATTTGAATGACTTATGTTTAATTCTTCATTCTATAATAATCCTTGATTAATTAAAAATTTTTGGGTTTTGAAATGAATTGGTTATTTTTTCTCTTTTATAATTTTGAAATCGAAAGTTACTAATCGATTAGATTGCTAAATTGATGTCTTTGAAACAAGTATTGTTCAGTTTCATAAACTGAAATTCATTTTAACATCATATGAATCTTCATTCAAATAGTAAACAAATCATAGATTGTATAGTTATTTGAAATTTTATTTTTAAATGAATAAAATTGAATTAATTTTGAGCTTTGAGTTTCTAGATTAAGCATTGGAAATTTTAGTTTTGCAAATTCCATATCTTTCAAAAGAAGTACTAATTGTAGCTAAAATTTTGTGAAAATACAAAATTTAAGAAATTGCATGAGACTTCAAAATTTCAGTCTCAACAAATATTCACAAACAGAGTTTCTAGATTTAGATTTTGGAAAATTTTATTTTGCGCATTAGCTTTCAAAATTTCACACAAAGCAAACTTTCACAAACAAAATTGTGGGAGTTTTGAGTTTCAAGATTTTGAGATTGGAAAATTCAATCTTGTGGAGATTGTTTTTTGAAACTGTAGTGTTAACTTAAGCTAAAATTTTGTAGCAACAAGACACAGAAGACTTGAAACTTTCAGTCTCAAGGTAAATATATATGTTTTGAACTTGATTACATAATGACTACTCAAGACAGAATATTGATTTTATACCAGGAGTCTTGTATAAATTGAAACATCTTCAAATAATTTGTCATGTTCATTTATGTAAGAATTAGGGTTAGTAGGTTAAGGTTAACGTTGTCGCAAAATTTATTTGAGTCTTGAGACTACAATGTAGATAGTTTCTTGTGTGAATATAAGTTAGGAGAAAACAATGTGGGTACTATGTGTGTTTACTGTAACTAGAGTTGAGTGTAGTATGTACTTTCCAATTGTAATATAAACTTGTATAACGTGGTGTATTAGAGTTGAATGTAGTACATACTTTCAAGTTGTACTACAAATCTGTACTAAAGTTGAATGTAATACGTATTTCCAAGTTGTACTACAAACTCGTGATATATGTTGTATTTTTAAACTGTATCACAAACTTGTACTAGGGTTGAGTGTAATACATAATTCCAAGTTGTATTATTCATGTATTATGTTTTAATTTTGAAAGTTTTTTCAAAAGCTATATATTAAAGAGTGGATGTATCGTTCTGTAAGTTCTAACTTTGTGTTTTCACATGCTAACGGCTCGAGGGTTTCCGCGTTTTTTAAATGATTTGTGTGTTTCAAGATTTCTTTGTTATTCTAGTTGACTTGACATTGAATGTTGTGAGATTTGACGGAGCCGACGGGAATAGTTAGTAAGTAAAGGTGCTACTTTTTCCCACACGACGTTTGTTTGAGTAAAAAATGATCTTAGGGATTGGAAAATATATTTTTTTAAGTATTCTCAAATAAAATTATTAATTGTAGAGCAGAAAGTGAGATATGTTTCTATTTTTGTTTCAAGTCTAGATTGTATATAGATATATAGTTATGAGTGTCGGAAGTTAAGGTGATTTACACAAATACCAAAAGTTTGCTCTTGGAAAAATTTAAACAAAGTAAATTGATTTTACTTTATTTTGATTTATCATTCAAGAATTTGTACAAGTGTGTATTGGAAGATAAGTTATCTATCAATCTAAATTTCACTTAGAGATCACGTCTAGAGAAAACATAATGTTGTTTTGAAATTCACCAAAAAAACATCAAAATTTTTGGACTTCTTTATACGCAGTTTTCTTTATGTAGAAAATGGTTTTTTGAGAGAAATATTTTGAGTGTATTCACCTTAGTGTGATGGATTTTTGTTGCTAGTAATCATAGGTCCGTCATCATCTTGAGCTACTTTTTTCCCCCACATAACGCTAGTAGATTTCATTTTATGTTTTTGTCCACTTTTGCTAGTTAAACAATATAATCTAATGATGACTCGAATAACATTTAATTCTTCGAGTTGAATCTTCAGCGTTAGGAGTAGTTCTCAATGAATTAGCTATGGTTTCCCTTTAGCATCAAATTGGATTTTACTGATAGTGAAATGAGCTTGACTTGACTAAGTGGTACATTTTTTATATATATTAGTGAGGACTTCACAAGGATTTTCATTTGGATAACTTATGGATTGACAAAAAATTGATTGCAAATTTAGGTCTGATGTGCAATTACGATCTGCGAAAAATTTTGAGTCAAAAAAATTATATTATTCTTCAATGGGAGTCGTGCAATAGATGCGTTTTGGCGAGACCTTTCCATCGAGACAAGAAGTGCATTTTTTCGTCAAAGTAGTTTGAAGATATCGCAAAAGTAAGATTACAGATTGTTGTTTATACCCTGTTGTGCATTTGTGTTAGGATTAAATTGGTGTTGTTTATACCCCGTTGTGCATTTGTGTTAGGATTAAATTGGTGAGAAGCGCAACAAAATTTTTGTTGCAGCTTTGTACATTTATGCATTGTAAATTTGCAGATATAAGTTGTGTGGATCTAGGATAGAAGCAATGTCCGATTTTGTGTAGCACAGATTGTGTGCGAAAACATTGCTCAATTTCTGTAGGATTTAGGGATTTGGAGTCGATTGGACCGAAAGTTGTACTGGACAATCAAAGTTGATACAGGTGTAGAGATTCTTGTAATGACGTTTTTACAAAGTTCAATTGCATTCTGGCGAAGTTTGAGCAATTTTGATCTAACTGTTTGGGAGTAATTGCAATTCGAAGATCCGCGGATAAACTCAAGATCTGGTTATGATGTACAGCAAATTTTGAAGATTTTGGAATTGGTGAATTGATGACCGATCCGCTTGAAGATGTTGCTTGAGGAGATTTAATTGTGGCTGAACTCTACGTGTGTATCAAGCCATAGCTTATGTGTGAACATAGCGAAGCTTGGCAGATCTAACCGTGCGATCGTTATCTTCACGTTCTTTGGCATTTTGAGCCTTCAAATCAATTTTTGGCCGAGTGGACATGAAAAGTGGAGCAAGGTATAAGGGAGCAAAATGAACAGGCGAGTTGATGTGCATACGTGTGAATTTGCTTGTCATTCATCCTAATGTTATTTCGTGCTCATGACGCTTAATCATTGTGTTTTTAGTCGTACTGTTTAACAATACACTCTACAATACATTGTGTATAATGTGAAAGTTTGGGGTCATTTATGCATGTTTGATCATGTGTTGGACTTTGTTTTTGGATGCAATCATCATATGAAGTATTATTTTTGCGATTTTATGTACAAAATTGCTTTGCAGATGTTGGCGGAAGGTGATTGCAAGAATAAAAAGTACACTACATAAGCACATAGTTGGCGATGAAGATCAAATCGGAATAGATTTGTGATGCAATGTCTCGTCTGTGTTATGTTGTGTTTCTTTAAGTATGGAGATTTGTTGCTAGTTATTTGATTGTGTTTGAATATTGTCCATTTTTGTTTCTTATTTTGCGCATGTGTGTGGATTGACGTTGATTTTTGAAATGATTTTATTCATATGTGATGTCGATTGTGCGGTTGGATTTGAACATCGGAGAGACTATCTTTGTTTCTTTCACTATGAGACTTGAGTGATAATCAATAGACCGTGAGAGAAGTCTTACGGTGATGACATGTTAGGTTGCTGATTCCATTAGCTAGTAGAA